TACCTGATGCTGAGGTGGCTCGCTGAGAAGTCTTGAAACTCAACCATTATAATATAAATTCGTCTTCTTTGTCATTTTTTTGAGTTTTGAGTATGAGAAATATTTTCATTCTAACGCATGCTTCTTTTTTATAAGAAATAATATTCTCTATGATTCATTCTTCAGTCTATCAGATTATATTTATGTTAGATTCGGGTTTATTATGGGCTTCCAACTTAAAACCAATCGGTGATTAGTGGATTAGCCCTAACTATTTATATATTACTTAAGGTCCCATTGAATTCTCAATGTGGGCTATATATCCCTAGTATCCCTCTTCGAGATGATGGCTCTTATCGACCAGAAATCTCGAAAATTTAAGACAATTATACTCGGTCGAACGAGTCAAATTTAACGACTTTTATACCCGGCCTGAAGGGTTAATCAATTAATTAGGAGTTTAAGACTTTTTAGGATCTGAGTTCTGACACCATGTTAGATTCAGGTTTATTATGGGCTTCCAACTTAAAACCAATTGATGATTAGTGGATTGGCCCTAATCTTTTATATATTACTTAAGGTCTCATTAAATTCCCGATATGGGATATATATATCCCTAATAATTTCTGTTTTGTAACTTGTTGTTTTACAAAAAGAAATCGAAAGTCATAGTTTTGTTTCAGAGTGTACACTGTGTACTACTATATATCAAAAACATAAAGTTATTTTCAATGTGAAAATCTATTTTCTTGTGTAAAAAAGGTAAACACACATTTACATTTTTAATTCTGATATATAAAACTGTTAAAATAAATTAAAGTTAGTTTTATATACATTTTTTTATATAACAAGGAAATAGAATTCAAGCTTTTGTGAAACAAAACATGATAAAATTTCATAGAGAACTAGAAAAATAAGAATGCTGTTAATTTCTATTATGTCATACATGTGAGGCTTGGTAAGGAGAATAGATTCCAACTTAAATACTTAAGTATTTAAGTATAAATTATTTTAAAGTGTGTCAATCTTACCAATCTACCTAGGAAGTTTTTGCAGATATAACCCAAGTTACAAAAAAGGAAGTTTTGCAGATATATAATTCGGATATAAAAAAACGTGTGTGCAGGTAAACATTTATTTAAGAGAATTTAATCACATTTTACATATATTATATATTAACAATTATTTGCGAAATCTATTCCCTTCTACAATGTGTTAAGTTCATGATCCAGTGTGTTATATAGGTTTAAAAATGTGACTTTGATAAAAAAAAATGTTACTAAGATAATCATTTATTACAATATGTTGATAATCATTATAGGTTTTTTATTTAAAAAACTTCGAATACAAAAAAATTAAATGATTTTTTCGAAGCACGAAAAATAATACTAGTTAATATATAAATTAGGATAAAACGCAAAGCGCGGGATGAGGGTTATTATTTTCATTATTCAGAGAATTAAACATTAATTTGGTTTAATTTGGATATTAGTTGGTTTTGGTTTGTTTTTATCAGGTCTTAACATCCTATTGTAGAATTAGAGTTTAAATCCATATTTTTTCATGTGTTCGATTTTAATTGTTGACGTTTTTAATTTTTTGGTGATAGGTAAAAAAAATTCATATTTATTTGGTTTCATGTTATATGAATTTTAGATAATCATGTTGGTAATTAAGCATTTCATATTATAAAATCTATATGGATGAAAAAAACAATCAAATATAAATAATTGTTAAAGAAATGTTTTTTTATAAACCGTCTTTGTTAACCACACTAAAACGAAGATGGTTTAAAATTTTATTTGTACACTTGATTGATATTAGTTTTATATTCTTAACCGATTGAAATTTAATTTCGGTTAAGACATTTCGTCTACGATAATTGCTCCTTCTCATTCTCTTTAATGTAAAACTTACATGCATGCATATTTCGAACAACATCTACAACCTCATACATTGCCTTTTATACTTCGCTACACATCAAACTTCGATGCACAAATATGCATATTTGCCTTGGAATAACATCAATAGATTAGCAAATCTTTTGATCTATATATGCATCAATCGATATGAGAATTTATGAACTTCTTCTCTACTCATCAAACTGTTATGAACATGGATGCCTTTATCTTTTTCGTAAATATCTCAAATATGTATAACATCAAGAAAATCAATCGTTTCAAATTTATGTGATTGTAACACGATTGGTTGATATATTTCTAATACCATATGGTAACATTAGCTCTTCGTATATCGGGTATCAACCTCCCTACTCATCAAATTGTTGCTTAATATCAACCTTTTCTTATATGGTATAGGAGTCTTAGCCATACAACGTATACGTTTATCCCTAAGCTCTCGCTATCATGTGCATGTCAAAACTTGCATTTATGTTTCTCAAAGCTTGGCATCCATCAATGTGAATATCCAACGAAATGAACAATAACAAACACATTTAGTTAGGTTCAATATACTTTTATGTTGCTTAATAATGGTTCAAGAGGATTTACCCAATCAATCGTGTGTAGTGAAGAACCAAGACCAATGATTAACACAGATCGACATAAAGCCGATTCTTCATTAACTAGGAAAATCCCCATCCCTATGCATGGTTCCTTCTGAACAACCAAGACCGATGCTTAACGAAGATCGAGCAAATAAGATTGCTTCTCAAAACGTGACTTCGATTAATATGAGCATCTACGAAAGTATGCACAATTCAGCAATATGTTATTTCACCTTATGTAGCTCGAAACTTGACTCCAATAAACACAATTAGATTAGTATCACGTCCATATAAACAAAGCAAAAAATCAACCGATTGCTTATGAGAGAAACAGAAAACATGCTCATGTTTAGTTAAGGCAAGAAAAGAAATATCTTGGCTTCGAAATTCTGGAACTTTTGTGAGAAGCTCTGTTAAGCTGACACGTCAGTTTCCCTTATTTCAAATCAACATGAGCATACCATGTGACAAACATGGTGTAAACAAATTAATTGCAATCTTTCTCCTTTAATATATAAGAAATGATATGGTCATGTCATGTACCCAAGGTATTAAAAACAAACAAACAAAGATGTCGCTGCTACAGGGCTGGGCAAAAAAAAAATTGAACTGAGAAAAAAAAAATCAAATCCAATCCAAAAAAGTAGTACCAAATTCGAACTGGAACTAGTTAAATATCCAAACGGATCCAAAATTTTGGTATTCAAAAGACAAACACCAAACCCAATCCAAGAAATATTTCAGATATCTGAATGTATCTGAATTAGAACTATATACATGAATATATTCTATTTTTAGATTTTATATCAAAACTTTTATCTAAAGCGTATAAAATATTTTAAAATTGCCCAAAATATTTTAAAAGATTTACAAATAGTCAAATATAAATATTTAAAGTAGCTAGCAATACGCAAAACACCAGAAATTCGTAAAATAATTATTTATTATCTATCCAAATATTCAAGCCAAACCAATTGTATGTTAAGTTTAGGTATTTTAGCATACATTACTTAAATTTATATATTATATATCATGTTCATTTTACATTTTGTAAAATTTAAAATATATATAATTTTTAATTTAAAAAAATAATTTAAACAGGTTACACAAATCCGAGCCGGCCCGTAAAGATCTGAACCTGAATTAAACTTTATAAATACCTAAATATAACTAAAATCTTTAACCCCAAAATCCGAATAGATCGGAACTGAATACACAACTACATGGAAAATTCCGATAGAACAATAATCTACCATGAAATAGCTTTAGAAAGGATCAAAACAAGGGAACCGCCTGTTCTCTAACGATATTTTGGCATGATTTTCAGCTCTGCACCACCCACATCTAGTCAAAACTATATAGATGTTGTGTTGAAGGAGACCTCTTTAGGAGACTGAGAAAACAACAGCCTTGCTGGAGAGCATTGTTTGGTTAGTAGCAACACCACTAGCTCCTTAAAAGCAACCGTTCAAAATTTTGAATTTGGTTATATTCACAACCAATTATTTTTCCACCTTTCTTGATAAAAGGTCCTTAAGAAACACAGTTGAGATTGGACGATTGGCAAACAAGGCTGAAGATCTGTATCGGGCTAGCGAAAAGACTGGCATATCTCCACGAAGAACTGAGGCTAAATACAAAGCCACTAATGTTTTGTAAGGCAATGAAATGAACTCAGAAAATATCAGACTTTGTTCTTGCCAAGCTTAATAAAGAGGACACTACTCACATTAGGAACATTGTAAGCCAAAGCCAAAAGTTGAAAAGTTATCATATGGAATCAATATCATTAAAACAGAAATATTCTGTTTAATGAATTTTTTATGTTTTTCAATTATACATTTAATGATATGAACTAATTTTTATTTTCGTTAATGGCAAAAAATATGATTTTTTTTTAAGTTTATGTTTCAAAAATATACTAAATTTCCTTTTTTTTTAACTCAAAAATTCCTTGCAGGAAAATAGTAAACTGGAGTAGCCTCGCATCATAAACAAACCAAACACAAAAATAACTAAAACGAAACCCAAAGAACCCAGGCTTGAAACACCAGCTTCCAAAAACACCAGGACCATTCATTTCGATAAGAAACCAACACCATCTTCCCTTAACGTCAAACATTCCTCGTACCTTCCTCTGCAAGTAGTCTTCTAAGCCAAGAAGGACTGCCTTGAGCAACATATGATTGATATCTCCTCTCCTTCGTCACACTTCGAACAATAAGAAAGGCATCTTTGTTAGCCTCCCTCATTACAAAGCACACCTTCCAATGTGCAATATTAAATTATTTGTGAGTCTTGGAAATTACCCACAAAAATTAAGTGGGACGGATTCAGATAAAATATATTTTCTTTGCGGTTCAGATGGGTCGGATGAGGCCAGTTTGACCTGCTTCCCAGCACCAAGTATAGTTAACTGATATTATTTTTTCAAAATAAAACTATACAATTACATACAAAACATTTATATAGATATTGATGATAACAATAAATTAAAATCTGCATTAATTTTTTAAAGTTATATTAGATAATGACATTTTATATCATCAAAGTGAAAGACTTTGTAGATAAAACAACAAAATGATACCCGTGCTTTAGAAGTGCGGATAAAAATCTAGTTTTGTTGTAAAATAAGAGAATCATATTTTTGCAGTGGATATGTTACATGGCCCCAGAGTACGCCAAAGGCCATTTGACGGAGAAAGCTGATGTTTATAGCTTTTGTATTAATTGTAAGCTCTAAGAGATTGTCATGATAGACGCAATAAGCTAGACCAATCCTCATCATTCAGTCAATCCTTTCTACGTTGACTGGATCATGATTCAAGTGGTGATATGATAGATACCAACCACTAGAGATATTATTGGATATTGGGCCGCCCAGATCAGAGTGACTAAAGATGCTGGATGGTGGAGATGGAGAAGCTTCAGTCCATAAAGAAACAAAGAGACTTGAAAACATGAACACGATGAAGAAGTACGACTCTGGCCATGACCATGACTGCACAAAGTACCTCTACAAAGCAATAATGTGTAGAAAAACAGATCAAGATGAAACCCAAAGACTTGTCGGGCTTTTCAGCGTTCTAAGTACAAGTCAGAGAAAGAGAGACAAGTTGGAATCATTTTTCAAAGTGTTTAATAGAAAAAAGCAGAGTCTCCTAACGTAACTACTTACACAACCCAAGATTTACACTTCTTTCTTGTCTTCTCGAAAAGTTCTTGATCTCTTAAAAATCATTTGTCTTCAACCAAGTTAGTAGGCTCGCTTAGAACATACTTAGGTAGCTCATACTTAGCACCTGCGTATTAAGAATAAGTACCTAGTCAGGAGTATGTAACCAATATGAACAAGGAGGCAAGTGAAAAATATATAATTTTTTTGACCTCTCTCGTCATAGCAGACAGTGAGATCATTGTTCTGAACAATGACCCCTGCGCTGTCCACGATTGCTTGAGCAAGAGATATGTCTGCTTCAGCAGCAGCTCGAAGTGCGTCCCATATCTCTGCAATTACAAAGTGTAAGATACAAACATGTGGATGTTAAGATCAGAGGCAAACAACTATAAAAGATAACAGAGAGCACATCATTTTTCTGTCAGAAAATTCTATGATTTCACTAATCCCTCACTGTTGTAGAGATTTACGCTGACACATTCAATAAAAGTTTCAAAACATGTGAGAAACAAACAACAAAAGGGTCCTTAGCTCAGTGGTAGTGCAATTGACTGCAGATCAATAGGTCACCGGTTCGAATCCGGTAGGGCCCTTTATAGTCAAATTTTTAACTTTACTCCAACATCTGATATTCCCTTTTTACAAGTCCTTCAATTAATACCAATTCTATAGTAATCTTCATGTGTTACTTATCTCTAAACAACAAATGGGTCCTTAGCTCAGTTGTAGAGCAATTGACTGCAGATCAATAGGTCACCGGTTCGAATCCGGTAGGGCCCTCAAAACTTTCTTTTGCCCACCCTCTCTTCCTAACCCATTTTTTTTTTGCAAATCCTCCAAACCAAATACTCTATTAACAACATAATCATCTCTTTGTTTAACACATCTCTAAATAACAAAGGGGTTCTTAGCTCAGTGGTAGAGCAATTGACTGCAGATCAATAGGTCAACGGCTCGAACCCGGTAGAGGCAAGAGAGAAAAATAAGCATTCAATTACCTTTCCTGCCGCCATAGTGAGGAGCAGTGTCCCAAAACTCTTCCCTCAGTTTCATAAGCTCAGCTTTAGTGACCGGTTGAGTATGTTTCCATGGTTTCGGTTTCCTTATTTTTTTCACTGACCCTATAAATAAACAACAAATTTATCCATCCGCTGCCATATAAAACAATAAAAACATACACACGGACAGTCTCCATTGTATGTGTACACCATCAAACATATGCATTAATCGTACTAGTGCCTATTTAGGATTAATAAACAGAACCTAGCCTTATTGGCGTAGTAGATTCATCACTTAGTTTCTTTCCATAAGAGGAAGTAAATCATAGTGGAGGATAGTAGTGTCAAGGTAAAGGTTCCAAATGAAACAGAGTCTTCTCAGAGAAACAATGTCATCTTCTACTAGGATCTCTTTGCATAATTGCATTGTCAGGTTAGGCACACAGACAAAAGACAATACATACACAACTTCTGAAAACAAGCTTTTTCCTGGTCCAACTAGAACACTACATAAGGCAAGAGATCCTAGCAAATATACGCACATAGACAAACACACACTAGCTTTGTCTGGTCCAACTAGAACATCACATAAATCAATATAAACCCATAAAGTTTAGATAAAACCTAAAACCCTAATCTCAACACACAAACTAACAAAAACCTTACTTTTAGGGATTAGAGGGTTGAACATTTCAGCACATGGATTAAACATCTAGGGTATCTAAAAATAGAAAGTCCGCATCTTTATCTCCTCTAATGATTTATTTACGCCGAATCTACAGCTAATGAAAGCGATAATAAACTACAAGAGATAATAGAGTGGTGATCTAACCTTCTCCTTGCGACTGTGTCGATCCAGCACAACCCATTTATGTTCTTCTTCAACCCTCCAAAATCTCAATAGGAAACAGACCAAATCAATTCAGGGTTTGTCGAAGCTTCATCGGAACCAATCAAAGTCTCAAACTTTCCTTCCCTTTCGGACAAAGCAAATAGATTTTCTTCGAATCTTGACACAAAGGTTAGATGTCGGCAGAAAGGAGAAGAGCGAGTTGAAGATGACGATGAAGAATCGGTGTTGAATTGATGATGATTGTGACATTAATTTTTTTGATAAATAAAGGTATTGGCTTCGCTGTCTTCTCAATTAAAGGCACATCTTCAAGGGTTCTAAATCCAATGCCAGCCACCAATCACCTTTAGCCACCTCATTGTAGATTTATTCTTTTGATATAACTACTTAAGCTTTTTGATTAATTTGACGATAAAAAAATAAAAGAAATTATTGAATTTTGTATCGTATTTGATTATACTATTAAGCAATTTAATACTTTCTTTTAGTATTTTATCTACCCAAGAATCCTACAACTAATTGAACTTTATATTGTATTTGGTTATACTACTATGCAATTTATTACTTTATTTTAGTATCTATCAACCCAAGAATCCTACAACTGTAATCTCCTTAACGATTGACTTTTGATTTTATAATCTTTACTTTATGATTAGATAAAAGAAAAGACTTTCTTTTTATAAAAAGAAGTAATACTTAAAAAAGAATTCCCATAACAGACTGTAATTTAAAATCCTAAAATTATTAGTATTACTTTAAGAATCCTACTCTAAAAGATGTGCATAACAGATTGTAATTTCAAATCCTAATTTCAAACCCTAAAATTATTAGTAAGAGACTCTTAACATAATATAAAAATTTTGGAGTATGATTGATGCAGATTTTTTAGAGTACTACTAATAAAAGATATCCTATAATTATTAGTCTTACTATAAAAAATCTGCATCAATCATACTCTAAAATTCTTATATTACGTTAAGAATTCTATTCTAAGAAATTTTGATCCTATACTGAGAGCATGATTGATGCTGATTTTTTAGAATATGATTATTAACATAATATAAAATACGTTTCTTAATTTTTAATTCAAAAAATTAAAAATCATCTCTTATATCTTTTATTTAAGAGATTTTTTTTAATTTGAAAATAATTAAAAAATGTATCTTATATTAGATTAAATATTCCATCCTAAGAAACATATATTAATCATGCTATGATAGAAGTTACTTATATTTTAAGAACTTTTATTCAAGAACTCCTAAATCAACCATCATCGTTTTGATCTTCATACAAACGAGGAAAAAAACAACAAAACCCCAAGTGTCTCGATTTGATTATTTTTGTTTTGTTGATCATCATTTTCAATATTAAAATTAGCTAAGTTATAGCGCAAAATGAATTTCCATGCTCGTGCAATAACAGTCAGAATCATAGTAATAATCTTAGAGAATATTACAATGAGAGTCACATTTGTACTTGTTAATATCATATTGGGTCATATGTTTATACTAGAGCACTTATTTGTAAATATCCGTTACAAATAGAAGGGAAGAAGCATGCTTAGTTAACTCTCAACCAAAAACCCTTCTAACTAGAGTTGTTTAATACGAGGGCTTTATTTATAGCCATTGATTTCTCAAACCGACAGACGGTCCAGATTTGGCTATACAGATCTTGAGTAGACATATATCTGCTATTATTCCTGCTCGTTAGATTGACTCTCTTGTTTCACCAACGTACGGCGTGGATTGACTCCCTGGTTTCACCACTTCCCTTTCTACCTCACTGTGGAAAATTCTCACCTTTTTCACTCTCCTCAACCTCGATTCACCGTCACCCAATTTGTTCATCAGCTCCAAACACACAATTTGTGCTAATCAGTAACTATCAAGGTTTGTTACTCTCTTAAAATTATTCGTTTAAGAATAAGGATTATGATTTACGTAAGTATATTAATTATGGTTATATTAAGTTTCACAAACATAAAAACAAAAAATAACTACCATTATTTTAAAATACCATAACAATATATAATTTAACGAGGTAGATATATTATATTTTAATAGTTAAAATTATCTGTTTTCTTAATAAATCTTTTGATTTTTAATTTTTCTGTTTTCATGTTTGTGAAACTTAATATAACCATAGTCAAAATACTTAAGCAAATCAGAATCCTTATTTTTAAAATTATTTAAAATAAATTCCAGTTTACCATTCAATCTATCTAAAGCATAAATTTATTTAGAATCTATAAAATATTTTAATTATTGTAAATATTGATATGTGTTCAAAAGCTTCTAAAAATTCATTAGTTACTTATTTATGTAATTTAGAATCAAACACTTTAGTTTTTATTTTATTTTTCCTTCTAAGCACAAAAAAATCTTAAGTTATATATAATCTTACTAAATATACTTATATTTCTAAAATAACAACCTGCATAAATGCAAATAAGACAATTAATCAAAAATTTAATATATTTAAAATATAAAAGATTATAGTTGATCAGAGAAATATATATAATCCAATATATCTAAATGATAACTAAATCGACCGTAAAAACAATAAAACAGACTAAATATAACATATCTAAATTTTTTTATATAATTAAAGTAATATAATATTATAATATAAATTAGACATACAAACTATAAATTAATTTAAAATTAAAGTAAATATCAATCAATTATTATTGTATATTTATTTTATAAATATACATGCGCGTGCATGAGCACGGGAAAATCACCTAGTAACAATAGAGTTTGATAGAATTACAAAATTCATGAAAACCAAACTTTTTGAATAACAAAAGATTTTAAATGAATTTTAAAAATTCTCAAACCAATAACAAGGGATTTTACTAAAATTTTAGAAATCTACAAACCAGTAACAATGAAATCTCAAAATTTTATAATTCTTCCAAAATCCTTCTACCAATAACCCCCTGTTGATTTATATATTTAGTAAACTTCTTAAAATATGATAATAATTCCTAAATCATATCATCACTAAAAATAAATATATTGAAATATACATTATTAATTTCAAAATTTTATTTAATTTTACTTTTATAATAATACAATTTTTATTATAGAATATTTTCAAAATTTTCTACATCTTTTTTAAAAATTAATAAATTTTTAATACTAATCTTTTTAAAAATTAATAATTTTAATTGTAATATCATTAGTTTCTTTTAGATATGGATAAATTTTATAAATATTGTTTAGTTATAATTTTTAATGACTATACAATTTTATATGAATCTTCTTAGTAATTATATACAAATTGATTTAATACATTTAACCAAAATAAATAGATTGAAAAAATTTCTAAGATTCAAATTTTAGATATATTACAGATATATTATTTAATATAATTTAAAATAAACAAATTTAATTATTTTTCTTAATTTTATACTTAATTAAATCAAATTTATATTAAATATCAGTAAAAATATTAAAATACATAATATTAATAAATTTGATTTTAAATATAATTTACCGTTTAAAAAGTTTATACATGTGCAGGAAAACACTAGTATTTCTTGATAGATGAATCATGAATAAGAATCAACGATGATGAACTCGATGATTTGAAGGAACGCCTGTATGACGTTATTGAAGATGTAATTAATTCCGCATTTCGGTATGCTTCGGAAGTGTGGTTGGAGTTGGACGATGATGATGCTCAAATGTTAGAAGCGGCTCAACTTTCGTTCGATGAGACTAGTACTAATCCGCCACGACCTGCTACCAAGCTCGTGGTCGAGGAGAGCATATATATATGACCAAAACTGAAAAGAAAGAAAAGATAAGATTAACGTGGAAGGATGCACAATCTGTTTGCAAGAGTTTAGCAACGGAGCAACAGTTGTGGACATGACTTTGACGATGAATGTACTGTGAAGTGGTTAGAGATAAATATTCTCTGTCCAGTGTGTCCTTTCGAGTTGCCTACTGATAGGATCTATTAGGATTATTGGTTGGTTTCATTTTATTTTTAGATAGATTGATAACATTTATTATGCAAAAGATAATATGGTATTAGAGCTAATCTTATTCATCTGCTGCTTTGTTCGAATCGATATGAGTTCCCCTTCATATATTTTCTCACAATTTCTCTTTTTGCTTTTTCTATGCAGAGTGATTGTATGATTGATGATCATTGTTTTCTTCTATTCAACGTAATTGATCTTTTCATTTCACAACAATGATTATGCTGATCTTGTTCTCATCTCCGATCAATTTTCCACTGCTTATGATTTTTACTCATGGAGATGTTTTTTGTTTATTCTGTTTTAGTTCGCTTCCATGCCAAAATCTAAGAAACAAGCCATAAGAGAGCTTATAGATCAGCTTATTAAACATGCCAAACACTTTCTCTTTTTGTATAAACACCAATATTGAAATCACCAAAAGACCTGAACAAAGTCTGGAACTCTACTAATAAGACAATGAACTAAGATGAGAATAACACAAGAAAGCTATATAACTTGGTCGAATGTTACCAACTAATCAAACGCAGAACCATTAAACTCTTCTCCTACTTCCAAGCCTCAGAGCCCTGAGAACTAAAAGCAGATTACAACTATAATGGAAAGACCTTTTCTTCTCTTCACCTCTTTTGAAGTATAAGCATCCCTACAAAGGCGATATTACGAGTGACCACGCCAATGAGAAACAATATCATTATACATAGATTCCATTTATTGATGTCGTAGCCACTCTTCATAAGCGATCCACATCGAGTGATCATCCATACTCCATAGTACCTGAAACCCACAAGTGAAACCAGATGATACATATAAACCAAACCAAAAGAAAGAGGTACTGTCCTTTATGCCTTACTTTTCAGCATTTCCAATTACAAATGCCTCCAAAGCCCACTTTGGATAACATAGGTCAGCTATAATCTTCATAACTTCACTATTCTTGGGTTGAGTTGCAACAAGTGTTAAAACTACTGGAAGAAGAACAGAAAACTGCATTTACCCAAAAAGAGTTTGTCAAAAGTTAGAGTAAGCAGAAATGATTCTTCTTCTTCTACTGAAATGAGAACTTACTAGCTGAGCAGAACCAGGTTGGAGGAAGATAGCCAACGCATATGCAATACCGGTCACACAATATACAAGGCAGACCAAGACGATATAGTTATCGAAAAACGTTGATCTCGGGTTAGTGAAGAAGTAGAACATGGAGAGATAAACCAATGGCTTGACAAGTGTATTGAAACAATCTATTGTGTCTTTGGCAAGAAAACAAGCCAAGCTACTCATCCCTGATGCACTTTCTCTCCAGTAATGTAACTTGTCTAGTGAGAATGATCTTAAAGCTGCTATTTTACACAAAAGAGCTAACCAGAAAGAAAAAAAGAATAATAAGAAAATTTCTCTCAAAGAAACTTGAATAAGAAGGTAAGTTTCCAACTTACAAACGGCGATAATAGTGTAGGTATAACCAGGTGCTCCAAAGCTGTCATCACTTGCTTTAATTAGTGATCCTAAACAAGCCCCAGCTAGCAATAAGATCAAATAGTCTGTGGCTTGTAACTTAGCTTCTCTCATTCGCTGCTTAGCTATCCTGCAAACCAAGAACATTTAGCTTCTCTTAAGATCAGAGCCGGTTCTAGATATAGCGATGAGAAACATTAGCACTGGACCCTATACATTTAAGAGTTGCTATATACAATCATAAACTCCCAAATTGTTTAATAAATATATTTTTTCTTAAGTTCTTCCTAAATTGTTTATGGCCTCCAAAATTTCAGAGTCGCTCTTTTTAAAATAGTCTTGGAGATTAATGTTAGAATGTACATACCTTCCAAGGAAATATTTGTATTGCAGCCACATAGAAGGGGTTCTTCTGCAGGATAAGTCTCTGGACCTTAAAAAGTTATGCCGTATTGTATCACTATGAAACATAAAATTACTATTCACATCTCCCCACAGCTCTCGGACAAATGTTTGTTCAGCATTACAGTTGGTATTGTGTACAGCGTCTGGATTCATTACAGGGTGCTTGGAACTGTTGTTCTTCTGCATATCTACTGGAACTGAGTACCCTTTGTGAAGCATCCACCTTTGAGGAAGCTCTTTGTAGCCAACATCAGAGTTCAAATCAGTCACAATTCCTTCCAAAACGTCTATGTAATAGTCAGGAGGGTTGATACGTTCTGGTACTATTATTCCAAGACCTGAGAAGTAATCCTCAACCTCGTTGACTGGTCCGTGGTAAACAGTAAGGCCACCTTTGGCTAGAAGTACTAGATCTTGAAACATTCTGAACAAAGTATAACTGCAACAAAGAAACATTATGTTAAAAATACATTTTCTCTTTGAGCCTGTATAAATAAGAGTCTAACGTGCTGTAAATTATTCATTTACACAATCAGTATACAAACACTAAAACAGATATTTGCCTCAATATGTTTTCTCTCTATGTGTTCTTCTTACCTTTATTCGTGGTTACTTCTCGTTTGTTCACAAGTGTTTTCGAGATACGTACCTTGGTTGGTGAACAACCATGCAAACATTGACTCCCTCAAGAGCTTCATGTCTAAGTGCTTTAAGAAGAAGCTGTGATGAGGCACTATCTAAGCCAGAAGTAGGCTCATCCAAGAACAAAATCGAAGGCTCCATTACCATTTCTAAACCAACATTCACTCGTTTCCTCTGCCCTCCTGAGATTCCTCTTTTCTCTACAGTACCAACTAAACAACTCCTCACAGTTTGTAACCCCAAAGAGTCTATGACTCTCTCAACCACAAGAACTTTATCGCCTTTTGATTGTCCTGCAGGTAACCTGCATTTAGCATGGAACCATATGTTTTCCTCAACTGTCAAGTTTCCGTGGACAATGTCATCTTGTGGCACAAAACCAATGATCTTCTTATAAGAATGGATTGATTCTTGCTTCCCATTTATAAGAATCAAACCACTCAAACTGCATCCAACAGCCTTGCCAGCCAAAGCAGAAAGAAGACTTGTCTTTCCTGCTCCTGATGGACCCATCACAGCTGTGATACGACTTGGTTTCATGCTTCCCGTCACACATCGCAACAAATGCTTACCATTAGATTTCAATGTAAGGGTTAAATCTTTGAAAGAAAGCTCCATGAGAGTCCTCTTCTTCCTCACCTCAGAGAAAGTAGCCATGTTAACTAATCCTGAGAAGGTAAGGTCTTTACACTCTAGTTCTATGGCTCTCTCCTTCTCGATTTGACTATATGCATCCTTCAAGATTTGGCTAGATGACTTCTTGATTCTCTTTCTTTCTGTTTCACTTGCTCTTTCATTACTTCTGGTGGCTGCATCATCCTCAACCTCACAGATAGGTTGTACAGCAGAGAAACTCTCAGGACTTGAATACTTGGACAAGCCTACATCTGAAGAGTACCCACGATCCATAGTCTTGTGAGCTTCCACATCATGATGGTGTGTTTTACCAGAGAGCGTTCTAGTTATCTGAGCACGGATCTCAGTCACATGCTTTTTAGCAACTTTCCACCTCTGATGAGCTTTAGCTTTCTTCACAGCTGCTTCTCTCGATTTTGCCTGCCTCCTCTCCCTTGTTGTTAGGATTTGATCAGAACAGTTGTATATAATGAGTAGAATAGTAATCACACCGAACTGCACAAAGACATTGAAAACTATTAGGAGTATTCTTACATGTATATTGTGTACTCTACTCCTATACAAGCATGTGCTGACATGACATATTTGAATGTGAATAGGATTAATAAAAACCTCTTCATTTGTAGGAAAACCTTAATAACTGATAAAACTTACAATAACCATAACACCAAATGCATGCATGTTCTGATTAGCTGTGTTTGGATTGCAAGAAGATAACTTGAAACATGCTGCAAAGAACAAGAATTTGTTAACAAACATCAGGAGACAAGGCAGATGGGAAGGGTAAACATTGTTTCATTATGATAACCAGAAGACTTACGTTTCTCAGATGTAGACCCCATACGACAGTAGTGTCTGAATCAACATTAAAAGTAAAACTAGTATGAGTAATAACACACATTTTTTTCATTTTGTAGTGAAGTTGTCATGGTATAACATAGGTTGAAGGGACAAAGACATGAGTACCCACTAGCACAAGACACTTTTAGAGTGTTTGATGGACAATATGATCCTGCAGAACAGAACACTTCGGCACTGCTTCTGATATCAGCCCATACGTTTGCACCTCCACAAGTGTGGTTTAGTCGTCCTGGGGGTAACTGATAAGTATACCTATAATATAGATATAACATTTCAACATCATATATTACAATAACGTTACATTGTTTCATATTATCATATATCTAATAAAAGACACAAAACAAAAACTCACGGTTCACATAAGCTTGTTCTCTCATTAAGTGTAGCTAAAGGGCAATGGGCACCAAGAGGACAAGCTTTTCAAAACAGAACAAAAATTTAGACCAAGAATCTTATTATATCAATGAAACATCGAGTTCCTGGATTGCTTACGTATCATACAAGTGAGGCCACGGGGGCAAAAGAACCCTTCGCAGCAAGACATACAGTTTCTTGTTCTTTCTGGAAAATCTTTAGAGTTTTGTAGATCAACTTGTTCTGTTGAATCAACACTGCAGGCCCATCCAGGTTCACAACCAGAGACCCATGCAGTCAAGTTGCAGTTCCGATTTTGTTGCAAGTAACCAGGGTTATTTGATTTAAAAAAGAAAGCATTTAAATAGAACTTCATCTCTGCGACTGTGCAGATACGCCTACCAATATCACCTGTTCAAACCGAATAAGTCACAAGCTTGTCCATGAAATACACAAAGGTCTTAAACTAATGTCAGCAGACAACCTTAAAAGAACCATATGATAAGATTTGGAGTTCCTATACAATCATCAAACAGTCTATTTTTCTATATATCTTTTATCAGCGACCAAGTAACAAATGTTTGGGGTTTTCGATTCGTGCTAAGTAAAAAGTTGGTTACCTTGGGTTTTCTTAATGCAAGAAGACAGGAAATCCAAGTTGGTGGAGAAATTAAAGGCTCTGTTCCAATCAGCATCCCTGAGATTGTGATTTCAATACAAAACATTTGTAACATTTCACCTAAGGTTAAGCAGGTGGAGAAGTTATCAAAGGATTGTAACATCCAACAATTGACCTCTTTAGGTAGGGCATTGTTATCTTTGTACACAAACAGGACACTAAGCTTAAATATTGTAGAAAATGAGACACTTGATTTCATCAATGATATAAGTTTCCAAAAGTAGAAACCAAGCAAAGCAAAGGAAGTGCAAGAATGAAGTTTTCAAGAGCAAGAGAACACTAACGGGTCTTTGACGCAAAACTTGGCTCTAGTAGCGAGCTCGTGACTAAGCGCAGCAGTGCTGTTGGAGAGCTTGCTGTAAACCATCTGTGTGAAGAGGGGAAGAACAGATGGATTGTTGAAGTCATTTGTGTCCTCAAGTTGACTATAACAAACGTGACAACCAAACCACAGAACCAAGAACACCAGTCTGAGGTTAGATCCATGTTTGAGCCAGTTTGGCCGGTTTACACTCATCTTGAGATTCAATAGCCTTAAAAGAAGACACATGAGAGAAATATCAGATGCAAAGCAGAACAAATAGTAGCGTGGTTTCTCAACAAGGAAGGGCTTGTTCAAATCTTTTAGATGAAGTTATATTTGAAAACATTATAATTGCAAGAGGCAAGAAACATGAAGGAAGGAAGTTGAAGAAACGATAGTGAAATGTTTATGTGTGCAATGAACGTGACGAGCAGTGTGTGAAACGGCCCATCTTAAATTAAATTAATCAAATTGTTAAACAGGTAATAAAAAACATACTTGGTGAAGTTCCAGAATTGGGAGCTGAGGAATCCATGAGAACTGAATTTGCTTAGTTTCTGGAGAAAATTCTAAAAGTAATATACAGAACTTGAGGCTTTGCAAGTTAATGTGCCATCATTGAATCTAACAAGGAGGAGGACGAAGATAGTTCGTTGGATGATTCCTTCATTTGAACAAGGGACATATAGACCTATAGTTATAATTACAGTTAACTAATTTAGAAAAAAATATTAATACTTTGATGGTTGATTAAGGAATATATAAATATTTTCTTTCTAAGTTTAGCCATTATATGTAAGTAATGCTAAGAAATCAATTCTAGTGTGATAATTTTGGTAGCTAGATATAAATATTATTTACTTTTGCATTCAAATTTATGAAAGCGGCCAAGAGATTATAATTTCAGTGTGGGTCGACGATCTATTTCCCCACGAGAAGTATCGTATAGCACCAAATGTCTACGAAACTATGACCGCACTCTATTTACTCTCGAGAATAAAGTTTGAAACCTATTTCCCCTCTAAATTAAAGTATATCGACATTTTTCCACAGTTATAAAGATCGAAATCTAAAAACCCACAAAATCGATTTTTATTGGTTTACTGTTTAGAAGCAAACCGTAAACCATGTTAAGTCAAAGACTAACCGGAATAAGATCCAATCTATCAGATATTTTTAAGTCGAATGTTGGGTCGGATTACTATTCTAATCCAGATCAGAGTTTGGTCGTTTTTTTAAATTTTGTATTGGTTTAGTTCTGCTCAGTTTATTTTAGAGAAAATAGTTTTTTTAAGCCAAATAGCTTTGGACATTGTCCCCTTAGGTTAATTTGATTTACTTATTGTCTTATTAGGCTAAATATTTTCTAAATGACAATCCTACCCTTAAATTATATAGTTTTAGTTATTAATTCGTAATTAGGTTAATTATAATTATAAAAAATTGAAATTTATTTTTAATAAATATTAAAATATAATATTATTCTAAAAGGATAAAATAAAAATAAAATTTTATATCCTTGCTATATTTTCGGATGGGTGTAAATATAATAAATTTTTTTTTAAAATTTTTTTTATAAAAAAATTAAATTTAATAAACTAAAATTATACACCTAGTCCACAGTAATACTCCATCAGATTAAAAAAAAAATTCGGATTGGTTTCCATTTACACCTCGTCCACAGTAATTTTTTTTTTAAAAAATATAATAAATATTTTTTTTTAAAAAAATTGAATTTTAAATATGGAAACCGAATATTTCCTAATATATTCTTGCTATATTTTCGGATCTAATAATATTTATCCGTAGAATTCAGATTCTACTAAAGGTAGAACTGTGTAAAAAGATATGAAATCAGTTTCTACATGTATTAGAACGTTGTGAGAATGTAGATTCCGATTTCTACTAGTTTTAGATTTAAGNAATTTTAAATATGGAAACCGAATATTTCCTAATATATTCTTGCTATATTTTCGGATCTAATAATATTTATCCGTAGAATTCAGATTCTACTAAAGGTAGAACTGTGTAAAAAGATATGAAATCAGTTTCTACATGTATTAGAACGTTGTGAGAATGTAGATTCCGATTTCTACTAGTTTTAGATTTAAGTAAAAGTTTAGATTTCAATTTCTACTTTTATTAGAACTCTATGATATGCGTGGAATGTGTATTCCAAACTATTTTAGATTCGTGTTATCTTCGTAGAAAACATATTCTACAGTTCGTAGAAATAGTGAAAAAAGTGGATTCCGTATTCTAATCCGTAGTATACGGATTCTAATTTCGGTAGAATAATATATGAAATTATTATTTACATATTTTTAAAACAGGAAAAAATATCACTATATAGATATAGGGGTTTCATCACTATGTACTATTTTTTTAAAAAAAATTGCTTCATAAATCTATTTTTTTTAATAATTTCAGAAATAAATAAAGGTTATTAAAGTCAAAATTGGTACAAAATATAATTTAGACTAAAGAGACAATATCCAAATCTATTTGCTCTAAAAAACAGTTTCCCCTTTATTTTAAGAGAGTAGAGATTTGAAATTCGGTTTTCAGAAATCATAACTAAATCAAATTTGGTGGGGAAATAGGTTTCGAACTTTATTCTCAGAGGTAAATAAAACGGGATTATAGTTCTGTGGATATTTGATGCTATACGATATTTCTCGTGGGAAATAGATCTTCGACCCTTTCAGTGTCAATATAGAGTACTCTATCCAAATTCAAATTATAATCTGCATTAAACCCTTCTTTTACATAACGTGTAATTTGACAACTTTTTGTGACATAATATTCTTAGCCAGTTTTGTTTTATTGACAAAAGTATCCCTGGTCAATTACAATTTACAATTTACAATTTTGTGACGTTGGCTGTAATTAGCCCAGGAACAAAATTTAAATATCTTTTTCTCGTTAATTTAATATTTTTCTTCAACCAAAATGAGCAAAAATTGACAAAACATGATTTTCGTTTCATATATATCCTAGTCGATCGACAAAATTATATATAATCATATGAGAAAATTAGGATAGATTTTAAATTGTTTCATATGTTACAATCAACTGTTCAAATATGTTAAATTGTTTGGGTCTAAATTAGAAGATAGAAAAGAACAAGAAACTGAAATTGTTTTGAACATCAAAAAAACTATTTTGATAATTGAAAACTTGTAGTTGAAATTGAATGCAATTTTGGCATAAAAATAATATTGAGGTAGGATAGTGGGAAAGTGTAGAACGCAAATTTGAATGTGCACTTACATCATGTTTCATATATTATCACATGCTGGTTAAGTAAAACAAGAGTTAATACTACCCAAACTCCTCCTAACTAAAAAAGAAAACAATGAATTATTATATACATCTTTTGATCAAATATATTGATTGGTATTTGACTATTTGGTAAGATGAAAAAAACCAATCAAACCTGAAAAGCTTATCGTTTACTTCAAAAAATAAAAATAAACAAAAGTCAGAGAGGAGGGTCAAAGACTTAGCCTAGAAGAGAAAGAAGAAAAGTCAAAGAAAAGTTTCTGATAATATCCACACAAGTGTAACCTAGAGGATTGATCTTTTATGTGCTTAAGAGGAAGGTCTAGAGCTTCTGGGCGAGAACAGAGTTGGAGATGCCAGCTTGCTCGATGGTTTGGTCTAAGTCAGTCAGTGGTTTAGGAGGAAACGTCCCCATGATGAGTAATTGGTAGTCTCTGGAGGCATCTGGTGTAGCCGCGTCAATGAAGTCTCGAACGTCTCTGATGGTATGGTGAGTATTGAACTGGGAGACAATGCGTGTACCATCTGCTAATACGAGCTGGATCGTGGTCGTTGACGCTGTGGGATCCGTTGAAGGTGTTGGTTCTGTGGTGGGTGAGTCCGATGAAGCTGGTGGCTCAGTAGAGACATGAGGGTCTGACTTGGCTAGTAGAGTTCTTGCCACACCTTGGAATGGTTGGAATGATTTTGATGAATCCTGTTGTTAAAAGATATAAGAGCCAAAGAGCTTTCAATAAGCATCAAGAGAGAAACAGAGAGATATATATATACAGGGAAGTCCTCTTGGTGACGCCTAATGAGTTTGACAAGGAAACGCTGCTTGCCATCTTGCGAATCGACTGCACGTGGTGATTCCAAGCTTTCTATTCTCTTGAATCGACATGGAAACATATGTTAATCAAATCCAAGTGAATCAAAAGATGAACTGAAGAGAAAAAAAAAAAGATGATAAACCTCGAGAAAGGCTGCACTTAGGGGATCATCAAATGTCCATAATGGATTATCATCGAGAGTGAGACCATTCCTCCAAACAGTGACAGTGCGCGTGATCACTTGAGGAGTAACTGATAGAATTTCGCTCATGCTTCTGAATCTTAGTCTTCTTGGTCGTGGTGATGATGGTGGATGAGCTCTTTCTACATCATCTGATTCTTTAGCAGTTTCATCAAGATCATGTCTACATATACATACATACACGCATATTCAAAAACCTTTTGTTATTATCTAAACATAACAAACATTTTCTCTGAGCAAGATTTATCTCTTCCACAATTACTATAATTCATTTTCTGATTGATAAAACATACTTTCATTAAATCTTAACTTGGGAGACAAGTCAAGCTAAACGATTAAATTCTTGAATGGTTAAAAGAGACAATAGCAAACTTACTCTTGTTCATCGCGTTGAATCGTCTCCCTACTAAACGGATTACGTGCACAAGAAGGAGACCGTGGTGATCGAAACCGTATCGGAGGCGGAGAGTCATCAGACACCCGAGAAGGAGATGAAACAGGGATTTCTACTCGAAGAATCGAAGACATAGTTCGAGCTGCGAAGAGTCGTGGGTCTCTAGGGTTTTTAACATTTCTCCAGCAGTCGTCTTCGGAGGCTGCAACAGCGACGGTGACGACTTCGTTGAAGTCAGAGACTGCAGCGTCCACATCCCATTGACGAGCTTCAAGAAGGAGTCTAGCGACTTGTCTCGAAGAAGATGTGGTCTTACTAATAAAGGAGCTTATCATTTTCTGGTGATTCTCCTCCATCGCAAGATCTCTTCTTCTTCTTCTGATCTTTCTTTCTTTCTTTCCTTCTTCGTCTCAAACTCTCAAAGAAACTTTTCGTTTATAACGGACTTCAAAACGCGCGTAGTCGTCTCTTTTAAAGACCTAAACGCGGCGTTTTATATATTAAACGTTGGTTTCTCTTGCAAAGGCAAAAATCACTTGTTTAATAGTAACTTTATTAGTTTTTTTTTTTTGAACAAAGTAACTTTTTTTTTAATATATATTTATATTTAAAAATCCCAAAAGGGCATCAATGTTGATTACAATCTCTGCTTCAACCAAAATGATCTAAATCAAAATATAACATCGCTTGCTTCGCATCAACCACCCAATCCGGCGCGTTCCGCTTGCTAGCTCTACCATCTTTAGACTATCAATAACTGTTCTCAACTGTTAACGCTTACCACAAGACCGGTGGGTTTAACCTCATTTCCTCGGATGCCGGAAATCCCATGACGTGTTTGTTGTAGCTAGCTTTCGGTGATCTCAACAGAATTTGTAGTTTTCATTGTCAATTAAGCGCAAGACGACAATATGAGAAGGGTTCCAGGGAGCCGAACCTGAGGAGAGCTTCCAAGAACACGCTGTACATCTCCTCCTAAGCCATCTAAAGAACACTAAAAGAGTCGGGTTCGAGAAAGCAACCGCCACGAAGCCAACAAGGACTCTAAACCTATACACAGTTATAACCGAAATAACACTACCACAGAAGAGCAATTGCCCTCACGTAGTACTGGGATGCATTACTCCGAACCAAATGGAGTCACTGCAAGACTAAGTAGCCGTAGACCACCTCGACCACCAAAATCTTACGCCATTTGCCATCAATGAGAACCACAGATGGATCAATGTGTGACTACTAAACTTGACTCCGGTGACAAACGGGGACAAGTGAACCATTGAGAAACAAGAGTCTATAACCTTTAGCAGGAAACCGTCGTTGCCGCCAAGGAATCATTGACAACGAAGCCCAGTAAAGAAAAGACCAGCAAGGAGGACGAAGAAGCTTCTGACGGTTAGCCATAGACGACTACCCACCATTGATGCTCCTCCAGCCACCACATGCCGAAATCAGAAGAGAGCACCGCCACACAACAGAGCCTCTCACCTGGACGCACCTCCGAGATTGAAGGACTCTCCGGAGCTTACTGTGATGGGGATTAAGAGGACCGTCGCTCCGAGACTCCCCAGAAAAACGAACCGCATCTTCTAATCCCCACCTCTTTGCCTAGAAGAAGCTAGGGACCGCTCCGCCGAAACCCTAAAGCGGACAATCAAATCCACACAGCAAAACACAGATCTAGAACAGAGTGTTGTCTCTTCACCTTTTGTTTCCGTCGGAAGAAGAATCGTCGTCGAACCAAAAGACGATCCAACCGCCAAACCCTAAAAGCCGACCCCTACCCTCAGATCTCTCCTTGCCCAACTCGTCGTGCCTCCAGGACAGAATCTCAACGGCGGATCTGGTTACCTCTCGAGCGGGACGGTAGCAGACGGCGATCAAAATCTCAGAGAGCACCAGCATATCGAAAGGAAAGGAGAGTTGGATGAAGGAGGAAAAGGAAAAGGAGGAGAGGAAAGGGGATCGCTCCCGACGCCAACCTAAACGGACGCCGACGCCGGAGCAAAACGGGAGCCGAGATTTGAGGTTCTGTTTAGGTCAAAGAAGGGAGCGTTCGAGTTTTTTTTTCTGTCGACCTTGATTATCTTGAACAAAGTAACTTTATTAGTTAGGTTTTGAAATTTAACAATCTAAACGATTCAATAATCTTATACTGCAGACATTCAAATAGCAAAATGAAATCTTCAAAAGCAATAGTAGTAACAAGCAACAAAATGGAAGAAAAGATTTCAAAATACAAATCTCTAGCTAGTTTCAAGGAATGACTTTAAGCTCCAACTCAGATTTTTTTTTTGTCTTTCTCCTTCTCCGCTGAATCACCAATTCTGACGCTAAGCACATCAGTTTTGTACTTAGCTTAATCATAAGGGAACGGAGAAAGATCCGAGTTTTCGGTTCTTAAAGGTAGCTTGTTCGACCGTGAAAGAGTAAATAGTCCATAAGAAAATGTTTGTCGCCCAAATCGGCACCAACCCCACTGCGAGCTTCACTTCTTCGACCTGAGTCACTATAGATACGATCCACATATTTTTCTCTTTCAACTCCTCTAAACCAGGAGCTTTCTCTTCGGATTTGTCTAAACACTTTAGCTTCTAATATGTATGGAACAGTAGTGTTGTTGTCATAACCGTTTAAAAGATATGCAGGGTAGCTCTGGTTTCTTTCTTCCAAGCCAAAAACCCAACCCTCCATTTAACAGAGAAAGGGCTTCCTTTTGGTTTCTTTAAACGGTCCGTACTAGAGATATATTAATCTTGTGTGTATCTTACGACCAAGACTGTGAAATCAGAGGAATCTATAAAGTTCTGAAAACTAAAATCTTCCTTATTAATAAAAATTATGTATTTATTTGTAAGAAAACAGTTCACATGGTTTCTTTCAAAAAATTCATTATTCTTTAGAAATATGCAAAATCAAAATAAACATCATGAGGTTTTGGAGAAAAATCTCTTAAAAATACTATTTCTAATGAAATGGTTTTCAGTGATGATAAGATAATTTAAAAAACTCATACTGTTCCAATTTCTATTAATCCTACAATTATTAAAAAAATAATGAAGTTGAAGAAAATGAACAGACGAAGAGTATTCATGCAACAACTTTGTAAGAATATTGTGTAAAATTTTGAAAATATATTTAATAAAAAGTCTATAATTATAAAAATCTACTTAAATAATATTTCAAAATTTATAAAAAAATTACTTAATTATATTATTATATTATTTATTGTCATATTTAAATATATTATTTAATGATATTAGTTATTTTCCTATTCTAAAAAGTTTACCAAAAAGAGAAATCTACATTAAATATAAATATCATGTAATATTACCCATAAATCATGTCAGCAATTTTATTATTCATGTCATTTTTTTGTATGGAAATGATGATAAAGATAACATGTGTCAAATTATTTTTTAAATAATATATAGAAAACTTTAAGTAATTAGAAAAATTAGCATTATTTGATGTTAACATAATGCTAATGTTGCCGCTATGTATACGTCTTGTATTCTTATATCAAACACAACACAAAATATTCTATTACATTTTACACTTAATGTTTCAAATGTTGGACATATATTATTTATTTATAGCACAACTTAGATATTTGACAAGGCAATCTATATTATTAAAGCTGAAGTACAAAAAGTTAAGTGTTTGGAAACATGAATAGAAAATATTTAAAATTATGATGATTGGAAACAAGGATAGCCTACAAATCTAATGGGCTTATTTATTAACTAAAGATTACTGCGGCCCAAAGTACTATTATTATTGTTTTTGGGTTTTCTATCATTGATATTACTTTACTTCTGTAAATTATTTATACATATATGTATTCATGTTTTAAATGTATTTAAAATAAATCAAGAATAATATATATTTTATTTATATAATTTATATTGACTATTGTTATAAGTTTTTAACAGTGATATACTAGCCTTCCAATTCTTCATTAACAAATTAACTTAAAAATTTGACTAAATTATTTAGTGTATATAACTTTGCACCAAATTTAGCAAAAAAAAAATTATAAACTATTACTAAAATGCTTACGAGTCACAACATTTTACGACGCCCCTGTTACACAATATAGTGATAAAATACAATGTTTAAACAGTATACTATTACTTAATAAAATTGGAACCATTAAATTGTAATTTTGAAATGTTATATATACCATAAAAACAAAGACCCGCCCAGTCGGACGGGTTATAATCTAGTTTTACTTGTCGACAAAACCAAGCGAAAGAATAATATATTATTGGATAATTTAAAAAATACTCTATTAATACTTATCAGGTCAAGATCAATCGCAACCGTCCTTCCAAGCGTGTTCCCAATACTTTCGAAAGTTGGAGCTGTCCTGAAATCCGTAGGAACTCCCAACACACACACCCAAAATGTGATCTCCGATGGGAAGTTCAGAGATTGCTGTGGCTTCCACCGCGCCATAGCTATCTTCCAGTAATCAAAGAGGAAGAAAAGAGTGAGGTGATCAAAGAGAAGGATCCAGATGCGAATGGAAAGAATCAGGGGGTGCGTAGAAGAGCTTTACGACATACATCATGCACAACCGCAAGTACCAAGTTGAGAGCTACGGCAGCTGTACTTTCCCCACCCAAACGAAACGCAGCCAATATGGGTTCACGTCAGGGTGAGGGGGCTAGGCCACCAGCGGGCAAGGGAACTTCAAACCCGAAGCTTGGTACTCAGAAATAGTAATTTTAATGAATCAGGACAAGCTTAAGGAAGGTTGCAAACAGGTGGTGATGGTGGGGACTGTAGTTCTAGTTGAGGCAATAAGTCCTACGAGTTTTTATATTTATTGTTGGTTTTTGGTTGTTCTGGTTTTTTATTTTCGCTATATTTTGGTTTTTTGTTTGAGCTTTGGTTGTATCCAGAGGTGTGTTGCTTTAATTTGTTTTTTAAGACCGGAGTATGAGGTCTTCTTATGGAATAAAACTGGTTGGCTGGGTTATATCTGGTGTATTGGGAGAGGTTTTGTCTTTGTTTATTATTTTGGTACTCTTTATTGGCAATCACAAGTTGGACAAAGAGTAGTCGAGGCTCCAGTTTTTGGACATCTCAAGACTCTATTAGAAACAAAACAAGAATTTGAGTTTGTTCAAGATTTTCAAGCACACTTTGGATATGATAAGTTGGTCACGGTGGACCCAGTTGGCAGAAGTAGAGGACTCGCTTTATTTTATAATAATGAATTTCAAGTCAATATTCTATACTTAGGTAATCAGATGATTGATGTAGAAGCCGTGGCTATCGGGAAACAAGTTTTTTTAACCTTTGTGTATGGTGATCCGGTACAAGATTTAAGGGAACAAATGTGGGAACGACTAACTCGGTATGGTTTAGCAAGATCAGATCCTTGGTTTATTATTGGTGATCTAAATGAGATTACAGAAAATCATGAAAAGGAAGGAGGGGCGTTAAGGAGTTTGGCTTCTTTTGTTCCTTTTAACAATATGATTTGAAAAAGTGGATTGTTGGAATTCCCGGCTCGAGGAAATAAGATGTCTTGGGAAGGACATCGAGGGAAAGGGAAATGAGCGGTGATGATAAAATGTCGTCTTGACAGAGCACTAGCGAATGAGGAATGGAACACAGCATTCCCATGTTCTTATACAGAGTATCTGGAAATGGTGAGCTCGAATCATCGTCCTGTGGTGGCATGCATGGAAGATAAAGTCCCCAAGAGGAAAGGCCAATTTCGATTTGATAAGAGATGCATTGGGCAGGAAGGTTTAATGGACTCAATTGTCGCTGGTTGGACAGAAGAAAATAATGGTAGCACGGGAAACCTGGTTACAAAAATCAGTAATTGTCGACATGAGATAGCGCGGTGAAGGAAAAACAATCCACCATATGGAAAGGAGAAAATTCAAGATCTGCAACGGGTTTTATAAGAAGTACAAATGGACAATAATAAGATCCAGGAGGATATTCTGGAAGTGTCTAGAAAGCTCCAGGATGCATATAATGATGAAGAGGAATACTCAATTGAATCACAGGTTGTTGAGGTTGGCAATGGAGGAAGAGGTCAGAAAATCTCTATTCATGATGCATCCAGAGAAAGCACCAGAACCAGATGGGATGACAGCTTTGTTTTTCCAGCACTCTTGCCATATTATTAAGACTGATCTGGTGGAAATGGTGAATAATTTTTTGGTCTCAGGAGTTCTGGATGCACGTATAAACGAAACTCATATTTGTATGATTCCTAAGACGGAGAGACCCACAAGGATGACGGAGCTAAAACTGGTCAGTCTTTGCAATGTTGGATATAAGATTATCTCAAATGTTTTATGCCAATGACTGAAAAGTTGTTTATCTAGGCTAATTTCGGAAACTCAATCGGCATATGTGCCAGAACGTTTGATATAACATTTTAATTGAAAAGTAGATGTTCCATGGTCTGAGGGCGAATAAATCTTGCCAGGGGAAGTACATGGCAATAAAAACGGACATGAGTAAAACGTATGACATGGTGGAATGGGTTTTTATTCAATCTTTACTTCTTAAAATGGGACTCGATCCTCATTGGACAAAGTTCATGATGGAATGTATCTCGTCGGTCCAGTATCGAGTGTTGATTAATGGTCAGCCTCATGGTTGCATCATTCCGAAAAGAGGCTTAAGACAAGGAGATCCTTTATCACCTTATCTTTTCATTATGTGTACGGAGGCTTTGATATCAAATATCAAAAAAGCGGAGCGACATAAACGGTTAACGGAGATGAGGGTCGCAAGAGCCTGTCCGGCGATTCCTCACCTTCTGTTTGCGGATGATAGTCTTTTCTTTTGTAAGGCATAACCAGAGGAATGTCAAACCATACTCACTATACTTAAAGAATATGAGGCGGTCTCAGGACAACTGATTTACTTTCAGAAATCCTCAATTCAATTTGGACATAAGATTGGAGAAGAAAATAGGCAAAAGTTACGCGATATTCTGGGTATTCAGAATCTCAGTGGTATGGGATTATATATGGGCCTCCCAGAGAGTCTGGGAGGGTCAAAAATTCAGGTGTTTGGATTTTTTTCAGAAAAGATTGAATAAGAGGGTTAACGGGTGGACTTTTCGATATTTTACGAAGGGAGTGAAAGAAGCAATTATCAAATCGGTGGTTACGGCTTTACCAAATCATGTGATGTCTTGTTATAGGTTACCTAAGGCAACTACAAAGAAGTTGACGGGTGCAGTAGCTCAATTCTGGTGGAGTAATGGTGGTAGTACAAGAGGAATGCATTGGAAATCATGGGATAAATTGTGCCTAGATAAAGAGGATGGAGGTCTGGGTTTCAAAGATCTTGAGGATTTTAATACGGTGATGTTGGGTAAAAAATTATGGCGCCTCATTGAGAAACCAAATACTTTGTTTTCCCGCGTCTTTAAGCTTCAGTACTATAGGAATGGCTCACCTTTAGAACCGATTAGATCATATTCTCCATCGTATGGATAGAGAAGTATAATTTCTGCTAGATCTCTAGCTAGCAAAGGACTTATCAAACGGGTGGGTATAAGTTCATTTATCTCTGTATGGAATGATCCATGGCTCCCAACCACTCGCCCGAGACCAGCAAACAAAAAACAACAAAACTTTTTTCCGGACTTGACAGTGGTCTCTCTCATCAATACAGATACGCGAAGTTGGAATATGACGACTGTTCGAGCGTTAGTAGATGCCCAGGATGTGAAAATAATCGAAAGCATTCCGCTTAGTAGGGTGCAACTAGAAGATAGGGATGGATGACACTTTACCAAGAATGGAATATATACGGTCAAGTCAGGTTATCAGGTTGAATGAGTTGCTAGTTTTAATGTTGTATCTGTCAGCTTGACAGTGAACTCGTGACCATAACGAGATGTCATCTTCCTCCAAATATGTTGCAAGGCTGGGGTTTAAACTCCTTATCTCGTCCATGTAGCGGTTAAAATCGAATAGCGTGAGTGCATAAGCAGCGCCTTTGACCATGTACAACATGTGCTTTCCCTTACACTTATTGACTATGTTTTGTTGTAGATGATAATAGCATATTCCTCGCTGCACCCAAGAGAAAGTCTTCTCACACACCTTCTTAATGGCACCGTGCCTGTCAGAAACTATCACCAAAGCATACTCAGCTGAAACACACTTCAGCAAATTGGTAAAAAACCATTCCCACGAAAGCTCATTCTCAGCATCCACAATCGCAAATGGAAAACTATTAAAATTACCATCTTGGGCAGCAGCAAAGCTCGGTAAGAAGTTGTGTAATCTAGCTTCAGCCCAAACATATTCTTCATCGCATCTTTGATATGCTTCGGTGTAAGCCCATCTATAATCCCCACTCGATCTATAAATAGACTAGCAACATATTTCAGAGTATACTGCTTCCGTTGAGCCATTCGATCCCCCACTGAACATATATGAGTGTTCAAATATTTTGTCACCCAAAATGTTTTAGGTCCATGCTTTACACTCGCTCTAAGCTTCCAATCACATCCTTGAACATGACACTTAGCCAGATACAGAGTTCTTGTTGTCTTATAAGCTGTGAATGTAAATTTACCTCTCACAGCCACCAACTTAAGCTTTGAAACATAATCATCCTTACTAGCAAAACTCTGACCGACATATATATTTTCATTTAAGGACATTGATCTTCCTTCAACTCCAGAGTACTGCGCTTTATATCCATCATAAAACGTTTCATTTGCATCCTCCTCAGAATCTTCACCTTTCAGTTTCCCATAATCACTGTAGTTTACACAATCGTCAAAATCAACACCAACATCAGCAGTTGCTTGAACATCATTATTAGCATTATTATCTTCATCCAACCCTTCATCATCACCAACATTTCTATCTTCATCCAACCCTTCATTTGTATCTTCATCAGCAAAGATATTATCATCACCATCAGGCACATCATCAGCTTCTACTTGGCACTGGCTTGATACACAGACGCGTACCATATGAGTCTTAGATAACTTGATCAAGTTCCGCACTTGTCTATCATTCGTGACATGCACATGGGGCGTATCTAGAGCCATTTCCTTTAAGATCACGTCTGGTAGGGAATACGTCAGCTCCACCATCTCGCTTTCTTGTTCAGATCATAATCTTCTTGTGCCATTTCAAGAAGTTCACCATGTGTACAACCATCATGGACAAGGAACATTCTCCCTCCTTTCCGATTATCGACCTCAAACTCCCACAAAGAGTCTTTCACCACCCATTCTCCGTATACAACAGGTAGTTGAACCATTTCCTGCAAAACAATACAGTTTACATAATTAGCAAATCAAAATTTCATGTTTGATAAATCTATACCGTCGACTTACCAGTACGTCTACGATTTTTAGCTAACAACATAGACAAACCAAAAATTTGATAACTTCCTAATTATATCAGATTATCTTCTGAAAATTATTCAAGACCCTTATGATTAACTAACACACACTTTCATAAATTTTTTTTTGATAAAACTTAATGAATAATACACAAATCCACTTTTGATAGATTTTTCTAGGTAGACTATATATTCAGTCTACAAATGTGTAGACATTTTATTCAGTTTACACTTTGTAGACTGCAAATTAGGTCTACGTTAGGTTGGTTTTTGCAATTGCCAAATTCACGGGGTACTTTATGTATTTGAAAAAAATATGTGATTTGATACGAGTAGACTTCTCTTTGGTCTACATTTTTTAAAAGGTTAGTTTTGCAATTGACCAGAACTTGTCAAGTGTTGGACTTTTAGAAGTAGACTTACTATGCAGTCTATATTTTTAGATTGGTTTGAAAGAGGTTAGTTTTGCAATTGACCAAAGTTGACTTTCTACTAGTAGACAAAACTAAATGTCTACATAACTGTATACTGCAGTAAAAGTCTACACTATAACCCGACAGGTTAGTTTTGCAATTGACCATCATAAAATAGTAGACTTCATATGCAGTCTACTTTTTTTTCC